CCAATGAGGCTGATTAGTGACTAAGACCAACCATTTCTTATTCAATTAATTCAGAAAATACTCTCCATCTTTGGCACATATATCAGAGGACATCCACCTAACATTCCCCTAGATCAATGAGCTTACAGAATGATTCAATGGGGTGAAATGTTGTCTTTAGTCACCTTCGCCTATACTTTCTCCAAACAAGAGATGACAATATTTTCCATTCTTACTTCATAGCTGACCCCAGCAGCATCCACATCAAACTACACTTGTTTAGAGAAGGCCTGTTGGCCCAGGATCATGACAAGCGGTGTTAAGACTTCCATCAACGCCATGTACCATATCACCTTGATGACCTTGTGCAAGTTCTGGCAACTAGGAAGTTTTGAAAAACTTTGTGCTGCTACTTTAGGCCATACCAAGTCATATGTCAGTGTCCTATGATGTTTAAGCTTTCCCTAACACAAAAATCATCCATGTCATCAGGATAAAACTATACAATGTATCTGATGAAGACATCTTAAGAAAGAAGCAAAATGGAATTTTCCCTCCAAGTGGACACTTTTAGAACTAGGCTCAGCCAATAGAGAGACATTTGAGATTTGCTTTGCCATAAAACATTTCTTAGAATTAGTTTTTGTATTATTTTGTTTTGGTTCAATTTTGTTTATTTGCATAGTATCTTTGTCAAAATAAATGTCTTTCAATATATATATATATATTTATTTTTGACAAAGATACTATGCAAATAAACAAAATTGAACCAAAACAAAATAATACAAAAACTAATTCTAAGAAATGTTTTATGGCAAAGCAAATCTCAAATGTCTCTCTATTGGCTGAGCCTAGTTCTAAAAGTGTCCACTTGGAGGGAAAATTCCATTTTGCTTCTTTCTTAAGATGTCTTCATCAGATACATTGTATAGTTTTATCCTGATGACATGGATGATTTTTGTGTTAGGGAAAGCTTAAACATCATAGGACACTGACATATGACTTGGTATGGCCTAAAGTAGCAGCACAAAGTTTTTCAAAACTTCCTAGTTGCCAGAACTTGCACAAGGTCATCAAGGTGATATGGTACATGGCGTTGATGGAAGTCTTAACACCGCTTGTCATGATCCTGGGCCAACAGGCCTTCTCTAAACAAGTGTAGTTTGATGTGGATGCTGCTGGGGTCAGCTATGAAGTAAGAATGGAAAATATTGTCATCTCTTGTTTGGAGAAAGTATAGGCGAAGGTGACTAAAGACAACATTTCACCCCATTGAATCATTCTGTAAGCTCATTGATCTAGGGGAATGTTAGGTGGATGTCCTCTGATATATGTGCCAAAGATGGAGAGTATTTTCTGAATTAATTGAATAAGAAATGGTTGGTCTTAGTCACTAATCAGCCTCATTGGTGCACTGTTTTTCATAATAACGTCACTGAACAGAAAATTGGCAAGACTGACAGCTGTACAGTTGACCATAGCTCAGGTATGGTATAATGGTTCAGGTAATCAATCAATGGCAATGATAATCCATTTATTGCCTGACAGTAATATAGTGAAACAGTCCAAGACTGTCAAAAGTTCTCTTGGCAGAGGAATCTATAAAAGTTGCCAAGCCAATGTCAATGTTACAAGCCTCAAGCATTCTTGGCATTCCATGATATATTGTTACAAGGTGATTCATTTCTTTCCAATAATGGTTACAAACATAACCAAAGTTATTGTGATAAGCTTCCAAAACAAAGTGGTGAGAGACTGGAACAATGAAGTGCCAACATGAATCGTAGCTTCATCAATAAAGAATTCCATCAAATACTTGGTAATGTTGAAGCAGAGAGGTGGTAAACGTCAGGACCACTTCATCAGCCTGCTGGATCTATGATAATTTTCACATCCTTAATTAAAGGAACTTTGACTGGGCTATGAGAGAATGTTATCAGCTTCCAGATGTTTCTGCCCAGATTTATTTACAATACTTATATCATATTTCTGGAACATAGCAAATGGTAATCCTTATCATTCAAAATGGATGTTCACATAGATATGGCTGGCATTTTTTTAATGGCCCAGATAATGGAAAAGCATTCCTTCTCCATTATTGAATAGTTTGATTCTGCTTTCATAGAAGATAGACAACAGTGGCTATGGACTTATTATATATCTCAATCACTATGTTAAGACCGAAGTAACTCCGGTTCACAACTAAATGCATCTTGTGATCAGTTGAGGCCTCTTATTGCTCAGGATCCTACCAAATGTCACTGGTCTTCAGGAATGAGGTGAGCAGCTTGGCAATCTTGGTGAATCACTCAATGAAGCAATGATTAACTTGCCAGTTTGACTAACTCAAAGACCTAGGAAGCTTCAGTGTTGGAAACTCAAGGACACCCATAGCTTTTCAGGGACTTTTCAGGGAATCTCTTTTCTGTCAACAAGATATATGAGAATTTGGAGACTGGATCCAGTTGTAATTTGTTTATCAGAAACATTCAAGGACAATTCTGTCAATTGTCCTTGTTGCAAGAGAAGCCAAAATGATGGGACAAATACAACCATGTCCTGAAGGTAACAAAGACAGATGTTTCACCTAAGGTCCCATAACAGTCCATCTATGTATGGATTATTATGGGGTCTTTAGTGGGTTTATATAGCTCAAATGTTGCTATTCATTGCAGAGCCAGAACAGAAGAATCTTAACTCTTATAACTTATCGGGGTGACAAAGGCTGTCTTCTTTTAATGTTGCTCATCAATTTGTCAATAACTGAACTTTGAAATCTGTCAACACTTAGACTGTCTGCAGGAACTTCTATAAGGACACTAGATTCTTCAACTCTTGGGAGCTGATACAGTCATTTAACTTTTCAACACAGAACTGCTATTTACCAGAGTGTTTGTTAATCAAATGATTGAATTGGCCCTTGGAGACTCATTAGAGTGTATTATAATACATCTAACTCTTAACTAACATTTTATTGACTCTTCTTCAATAATGGGTATATAAATATGACTACATCCTTTTTTAATAGATGGCATTAGTAGTACTGTTTGCATGCAACTGTATCTGGCAACACTTTTATTTGAAAGGTCTGACGGCATTCTTTAAACAGATGTCTCAGACTTATTTTTAAAGTAAAATCAATAATTATTTTTATTTGATTAAAAATGTTGAGTTTTGTGCTAGGAAAACAGCATTTGTGGAAAGTTTACTTCGTTATTTTTTTTCAAAGAAAATTGCAGCAGAAACATGTCATTGTTCGAAATTTATGATGAACATGCTCTAATACAACATGCAAAGATTGTTTTGGTGGTTTAAAAATAATGATTTTGATACACATGATAAAGAGCATGGAAAAACCACCAAAAAAATTCCAAGATGAAGATCCTTGCCAAACACAATTGGAATTGGCTGCTGCTTTAAATGTTACCCAACCATGCATTTCCCAATGTCTACATGCAATGGAAATGGTTCAAAAGCAGGAAATTGGGTCCCATATGAATTGAAAGAAAGAGACATTGAATGTTGAAAAACCATATGTGAATTATTGCTTCAAAGACAAAAAAGAAAAGGTTTTTTTTTTTTTATACCTAATTGTTACTGGAGATAAAAAATGGATTCACTCTGGCAATTGTAAACGACCAAAGCCATGGGTGAATTCATATAAACTGGGTCCACGAATGCCAAAACAGAATATTCATGGAAGTAAGGTTATGTTATGTATCTGGTGGGACCAAAAGAGCTTAGTATGCTATGTGTTGTGCAACTGAGTCAGATAATCAATGCTGAACATTACAAACAATAGTTAATCAAATTGAACAAAGCATTGAAGCAAAAACATCCATAATATGCCAAAATATACAATGTTATTTTCCAACATGACAATGCTCACCCAGAGNATAACAATTTTCTGATAAATTTCTTTCTTATACTTTTGAATTAATTATATCCTTTTCTTGCAATTTTAATAAAAAAAATAAATAAACTCATAAAACTAATAGTTCTTTGAATTCTCTCTCTGGTGTTAGAATAGAGATGCTGTCATTTAGGTTATTCAAGTTGAGATGCAGGTAAAAGATCTATCTGGAAAAAAAAACCATTGCAGCTAATAAAAAATAACAAACCTTGGAATGTTTTCATTGTATATTTCTAAACAGGAAAAAGTATTACATAAAAGAATACTGTCATAAAATTTAACAGAATTATAATTCATAACTTATTTCATTATCATCAAGTGTGATGATCAAGACATAAGTTATGAAAATAATTAACTTATCATGCTTCTAGTGAAACTTTAAATGAAAATGAAGTAAAGAAAACAAAAACAAATAAAATGAGAAAAATTTATGTTTTGAGTACAAACTCAAGGCAAAAATATAGCATAAAACATATACCACGACTTTGTCACAACGTAAAAAAGCATACTTGTTGAATTGTTTATGTTTGGAATATATGCCACAGATGAATGATTATAACCTTCTATCTTTGAAATGAAAAGGTTATGTAAATAATGCTTTTGTCTGATGGATATGTTAATATTGGAGTATAACAAAAGTTTTATCATGATCCAAGACATTGGATCTGTAAGGTGCAAATATGTTACACAATAGTTTCTTATCATTTAAAAATTTTCAATTAAAATTTGTAATTTTATGAAGAATTTGAACAATTATAAAGAATATAAGCTATGTATTAAAAGATATTTAAACAATTCAAAATATTCTCTGAATCACCAGTACAGTGTGTATTTCTGTTAATAGGACTTATTAAACTGATATATAAGATTACTGCAAGTAAGTCACTGCAAGTCAGTCAAGGTAAATGTAAATAAAACAATTTTAATCTGTGTGACTGACTTGCAGTAATCTTATATATCAGTTTAATAAGTTCTATTAATAGAAATACACACTGTACTGGTGATTGAAAGAATATTTTGAATAAATTAAGGACATAGAGTCATATTAAATTAAAAAAAATATTTAAACAATATTTATCAATAAATAATTTATGACAACATGCCTTACCCAAGTTGAAATTAATATTTTCTTGCTGTAAAAGAAAGTATAATGTGTGCCAAAATTCATCTAGAGCCTTATAATCATTTAGAGTTCTGAAAATAGAATATTTTTACATTACATGTAAATACACTTTTCAAAAGCAAGAAAGGAAAAAAAACCTAAAGTCTAAAATTCAATTTATCAAACTTTCATAAATAATATTTTATTTAAAACATATTACAACCCAAGTGCTTTTAACCTTACTTGTCCTCCATCTTTAAGGATACAACAGAATAAACTTAAAACAACATTATGCGTTGCAGAAAAGGCACCCAACTGTGGATATACATTGTACCATCAATCTCCAATGTTGCAGTGGATTTTGTTTGTGATGATAATCATTATAGTACTTATAAATGAAAAAATAATTTAGTATAACTAAATTTCATGCATACTAGAAATATATTAACTTTACTCAGATATTTATATTTTGGAATGTAAAAAATTAAAATTCTGAGCCAATTTATCATATACATGTACAGTACCTGTGATAAATATAGGTAAAGAAATTAAAGAACAACATATATATTCAGTTAATGAAATTATTTGATTATTGAGTAATCAAGACATTATTCAAAGATATCAGTTTTATTATTCAATGCTCAAATAATATATTATCACATTTTCCATGAAAATATATTGAATTATTACTGACTTGTTAAAAATTACTGAAATAAACAATAAGAAATTCTTATTAACATATACAGTAGAACCTCGATTATCCGGACTAATTGGGGATGAAGGTAGTCCGGATAAGGAAAAATCNCTGCTCGGTCCCACCTATCGCATAAGTTTGGGGTATTACTGTACTATTAAAAATCCAGGGGTACCTAGGATGAAATCAAACTTTGTGACTCACAACATACCAGGAAAAGAGTTGTCTTCTCTTTGGTTCCTTATTTTCTTCCTTTTGCACCTTATCCTTTTCCTTCCTTGTCTCTCTCTTTTTTGCTGACTCCATTTCCTCAGATTTGTTGAACTCTCCTCTGGTAAAGCTCTCTACTGTTGTGTTGGCTCTCATCTGGATGTTGTGCTCACTCTTCTGTATTCCCTTCTCTCTCACTTTTTTGTTTTCTCTCTTTCTCAATGTTTTTCATCATTCTCTTTTGTTTCATTTTTTTTTTCTCACCAATCATGATTTTATTCTGGAGGAAGTTGATGGAATGAGATAAGCTATTTTTAGTCCTCCTCCTCTCTTGTCCAATATGAATTGTGTATGTCCATATATCATTAACCATAATAAATAAATAAAATTGTGTGTGGCACCATCTGTTATATAAAATTTTTATAATAAGCAGAGAACATGCATTTTAAGCCCGGCAAGCCGTTATGGGAAAGCTGGTTTTTCCTCAACGGCCTGATGGAATTTCGGGTGTCAATTTCTTAATCCCCCAAACACTTGAAGTAATTCCGAATATTTCGTACAAACGATAATTGTTTTATTAGGTCGTGTGCAAAATTTCAAGACTTTTTATAAAGGGGTTGCCGAAATATGAGTAATCGAAAAGTGCGAAAATCGCCAAAACGCCGTATATTCTCCGGCACTGCAAGCGCTCGAAGAGAAAAAGTACCGAATCTCGAAAGCTCAAATTTTAAACTTAAGGCTTTCTAGGTATCAGTGAGGTGCCGGCGAAACTTCCGGATCGCTAGGTCAACGTTTATGGTCGTTTCTCACAGAGCAATTTCAATTTTTATGGCTTAATGTTATGCTTATAAACATAAAATTGTATCGAAAGGAATATGTTTTGTTCAAAATGTCGTACCGATGTTCTTGCATCCTTTTTTGTATTGAGCGTTTGGTGGACCCCTACACAACATCCCTTTGCAATCTGTACAGATTTCAAAGAGATTTAGTGTACATTTAGTGAGAAAGATGACTTGCGAGCCGATCTCCATAATACCTGGTTAATTTAATAAGACAATCATTTCAAACAGATCACATTAGATTCAACGAATTTAAGGAACATATTACTCAAACAGAAACTGATAAAATCCTATCAATGGGCGTTGTTCAAGACAATACTAACCAAATACTTGAGAAAACTAATGAAGAACGAATCAACGTAGCAGACGGATAGATCAAAATACTTAATGAAATGCTCGAAAATAATCTCCAATTTCAAGATTTTAATAATTTGATAAAATTAGTCCTTTGTTTTTTGGAAACAACTTCCAAATAAAGAATGCTTTCATTGGTAAATTTCCTGTGGTCAAAAGAGAAGTCGAAATTAAACATTGAAACCAGGAAATTCGTGGCTTCAATATTTAATTATAAATTAAATAATGAAAATAAGGTAACAATGTACTAACAACTTGCTGAATCCTAGATAGAGACTGATTGAAAAAGATACGCTTACGGCTCGTTGGTCTAGGGGTATGATTCTCGCTTAGGGTGCGAGAGGTCCCGGGTTCAAATCCCGGACGAGCCCGAAGTTATTTTTTTCTAGTTAATTTCTTTGCATTAATCTAGGTTCTCATTTTCACATACAACGTTAAAATCCCGTGCACATTTCACACTAAACTATCGTACAATAGTTTAGTCGAATTGGAGTGCATCCCCGCACACTGCTACAGCTAAGCTGTTCCCTTGGTGGTGGGTGCGCAGATTGTCCGATTGCTTTAGTCGATAATCTGCACTTGGATTGAACGCTTGTGTTTCAATAGAAATGTTGTAAAGAAGAGTTGTTATTATTGCTCTTATTATAAAACGAAGGCGAAAAATTAAGAAAAGAAACTGAGAATATTGGGCACATCCAATATACAGTGATAGATTATTGCGAGGAAAGTTTTACACGCTGTATTCTAAACTACTAGACCAGTGATTCTCAAACTTTTTCGATCCACCGCCCCCTTTGTTCCATAAAGTTATACCCAACGCCCCCTAACCCATTTTCTCTTGTGTGAGAAAAGGATTGGAAATATTCTTAGGAAAACTTTTCTATGAATCTCACACTTTGTGCCCTTACTGTACATTGTTCTCATCATCTGGAANTTAGACTCAGACATTTGATGTCAGCTAATTAATGTCAGCTTGAACAAGAGATGAGGAGCTATCTAAAGCCAAGGTCATTCAACAAGAAAGTAGAAAATAGAGTATTTTAATCATTAAGACAAAAGATTTGTTGCTTGTTAGCAACAAATCTTTTGTCTTATAGTCAATGATTAAAATTGTTGAGTGACAGCACAATTACTGAACACACATGCTTTTGGAAAAATTAAAATTTCCATTATTGTAGGCCATCTCTTGGTTTTGCAATTCATATTAAATAACTTTAATATTAAATGGATGTTCCTTTCTGACTGAACACTTTTTGAATTTCTGGGCTCTTAGCCAATAGAGTTGACATTTGAACTCAATGTTTAGAGCAGGTGTGGCCAAACTTTTATCCTTTATCCTGCTTTTTTGGTAAAATATAGTCTGTGGGTGACTATGAATATGGGCAAACAATTTTAGAATTTTTATATGCGTCTGCATTAACATTCATTTGCATTGTTCATTGGGATAAATACAAACAGTATGGGTACATTGCACAGACAGTCTATTATTGTAAGATTAAATTATCAAATTAAGATTTTTAAACATTAATTTAAGTGAAAGCAAATTGTTCAACTTTAGCTTCGTGGGCTACTTTCAAAACCTTTGCAGTCGATCGCGGTCTACATGTTGGCCATCCCTGGTTTAGAGCATTTGGGCATTTGAGATTCACATTTTTGTGTATAGAACGTTTGATGATTCCAATATAAAATGTTTAAATTGAACTACTTTTGTTAAAAGTTATTCAGTTTGTTTTTTTAATTAGTTTTGTGTCTTTGTCAAAATAAATGCCTTTTGACTTAGGTTGTTACCTGGCAACTCCATCAAAAATGAATTTGAATAGAAGTAGAAGTACTGTACCTCTCTCACCAATCAGTCAAGTCATGAACAACAGAAGACTGCAGAGATTAGTTCTCAAAGAACAAAAATCATATCAGGTCTTTGTCAAGATACCAGCACTTCTAATATATTCTAAATGTCAGTTGCACAATCTAGAATCTACCATCACTGACATACCAAGAACTTCCAGTCTTCCACAATGACAGAATCAAAGACACTTGCTGTTAGCTGAAAGACCGAATGCATTACCCAACAAAATAAATGGGACAGTGAGATCAAGCATGCTAGACACTGATTTGCAAACAATGTAAGACAAATTAGCTAGCCTTCTGTGAAATTTTCAGAGACAGGCAAAGTCCCACTTGAGATGCCAAACTATGACTAAGAAGCTGAACAAAACTCCCAGGCAAGGACAGTGAGTCATGAATCCAAGATATCCTTGCTTTATGCGAAGAGGTCAACATGTCTGATAATGAGCAACTTGAATCTCTTAAAAATTTTATGAAGAATATGTCCTCAGCAATGCCCAACATTTGCTAGTCCCAAAGTTTCAACTTCAATGTAACAGCAAGTGGTGATGAAATAGACAGAAGTCCCATCAAGTAGGTTGAACCCATACTTTCTGCCGAGTGATGAACACTGTGGTCAATTTTGATAAAGAGAAATTTCACCTAGTAATACTAATTCTGATATTGTCCAAGAAGAATATCAGAATCACACCAATAGCATCTGCATCGTTTCTGGCCAAGAGAACCCACTGATCAACATTGCAAAGCCTAGAAAATGCCTGTTGACATCACTAGTGGATCAACAAATGATCAAGCCAGACATGTCTGGTACTACTATTGAAATTGCTGAGGAAACTTCAACCTGTTGCTGCTTCATCACAACTTATTTATGACTTCCCTCATTACTGGGGGACACTAGGCCAGTTGCCCAGCAACACCAGAAAAGTCCTCCAGTAAGTATTGGGCTTCAGTTTGGCAACCACAAAGTTCAAGCCCAAGAGGATGCCAAAAATTAACACTTGGAATCCTCTTGGGCATTCAATAATTATTATTGGGTGTATAAATATAGTCATATTCATACACCCAATAATAAATACACTGAAAAAAGGTATAAATATAGTCATATATATATAAAGGTATAAATATGATATAAATATTTATATTTTCCACCTTTTTTCAGAATATAAGACATTCTTTCATTCTAAAAACAAACAAAAGATTTATTCAAAGTATTTTCCACCAGAGGCTACAACATTTGCCCATCTGTATTCCATGAATTCATTCATGGAATCCAGATGGGCAAATGTTATAGCAAATGATTTCCATGAATGAAGAAGTCTGGTTGTTTTGAAGCAATCCAGTTATCAACCCAATTTTGGATATCCTCATAAGATGTGAACTGCTTTCCTGATAGGTCACTCTGCATAGATTGAAACAAATGGTAATCTGAAGGAACAACATCTGGAGAATATGGCATGTGGTGCAATACATCCCAGTGAAGTGCTTATAGAGTTCCTTGACTGGTCTTTCAACGTGTGAGAGAGCATTGTCTTGTTGGAAAATAACCATGTTGTGTCTTTTGGCATATTTTGGACGTTTTTGCTTCAATGCTTTGTTCAATTTGATTAACTGTTGTTTGTAATGTTTAGCATTGATTGTCTGACTTGCAACAGCTCATAGAATACTACACACTTTTGGTCCCAGAACATAACCTTACTTCCATGAATATTCTGCAAGCCTTTGGTCATTTAGGATTGTCAAAGTGAATCCATTTTTCATCTCCAATAACAATTTGGTACAGAAAACCTTTTTTTTTTTAAAGATACAAATGTAAGAAGAATTAAATTTTTGTTATATACTGTACAATAAACTCTAGTTCATATTCTAAGAGACTTTGGATAATTTAAATTTCTTTTTTTGTCAAATTATTAAAAAATTTCTGTACAAAATGTTCCATATAAAGAAATCCAGCACAATGGAAGCTAATATTTCAAGAAAACTCCATCGTAGATTAAAAAGGAAAAGAAAATAAGCAATAAGATACGGCTAGGTAGGTTAACTAGATCTGTCAGTCAAGCCAGCTTTATCATTATTTATGTAAAAAATTGTCATTTGTAATGCATACTTTACTTTATCTCTTGAATTATCCAAAAGTATCTTAAATTTTGAATTAATGCATGCAATATAATGTGAATATCTATAGGAAATAACAACACAATCTACTGACTTTTGAATTAATGAAAGTTTACTGAAATTATATTCTATAAAGCAATTTGGCTCATTTGCAGATATACTATATGTTTTCTAATCCAAACTCTGCTTAATTGGAAGTAATTTTGTTTGTAATATGATATTGAATGTTCCAGACAGAAATAAAAAGAAATCACAGATTACTTTTTAGAAACATGATAAAATTGTAAAATCATGTACCATATATTTTCACAAATATATATACCAAATACATTATAAAAATTTTTCAAACTACCAGTATATGCATTTGTCTAGAGTTCTTTTTCTTTCCATTTCAAATTAATTGTATTATATAGGAAAATATAATGCCATTAATCCAAAACAATCTCCTAAAGCAATTAATTCAGATTAGAAAAAGTGCACTGTATCTGACTAATACAGGTATTACTTACAACAACTGTTTTCCACTTTCAATAACTACTCCAATTAATTCTTGCATATTCCATTCTTTACAAAACATTTCATCTTTATCCAAAATGCAATAAATCAATTTAAGCGTACCCTTTAATAGTTCACCTGAAAAATTTAATTTCGAATTAAATAAAATGAAAGTATTAGTATTAATATATGAAAAATTAAAGTGTATACACTTTACAAACAACACCCAAAATATATATTATATAGGAAAACTATGACATACATTAGTTTGTTTAGTAGTATGTTTTAGTTTTGTAAATACTACATTAGAAGTCATAGTATTTCTTTTTTAAAAGCACTAAGAAGATTTATTTTGTATTCATTCATGTTTGGCCAATTATTGAGCAAGCAGATGAATAATTCATCTGGATCAGTCATCCATAAAAAGCCAAAAACAAATTTAGTAACCAATGTATTAGACATATGACTTTAGCCACTGGCCATTAATGTTTTTGTATTTTTTAAACAAAATGTAAAAATTTAACAAGCATTTTACATAACTGTTTTTGAGGCTTAAAATAGCTATTATTATTAACAGGAAATAAAGAAAGGACTAATAGAAGACAGTAAATGTCAGCTTTACTACAAACAACAAAAAATGTTTAGAAATTAATCAATTAAAATAATTACAACAAACACTACATTTTAATTAATTTTAGTTTTGTAAAAGTGAAATGTAATCACATGAGCTTAAATATTAATTCTTAAACAAAAATCACCAAAAAATATATTTTTTTTTATTGATAAGCTTTATATTCATATTTTGGTATTAATTAATTATCAAACTTTAAGATAATTATACGAGCTTAATTATATTCTTTTCGGAGGAGACATTATTAATCATTGAATCATTAGTATTTACTGAATATTTGATTCACATTTACAAAATCTTTAATCTTTTCATCGCTAAAAATATGAAAAGTGAAAACTCGAGTGAGATAATACAATTTATTATTTCAAAGTTTAAAAAGTCTCAGGTTTAATACGCGATACTTTTTATAAAATTTCTTAAATTAGATTAAACACTAAATACGTTAAANACTTTTAGAACTAGGCTCAGCCAATAGAGAGACATTTGAGATTTGCTTTGCCATAAAACATTTCTTAGAATTAGTTTTTGTATTATTTTGTTTTGTTTCAATCTATGCAGAGCGACCTATCAGGAAAGCAGTTCACATCTTATGAGGATATCCAAAATTGGGTTGATAACTGGAATATATGAAAAGACATTTATTTTGACAAAGATACTATGCAAATAAACAAAATTGAATCAAAACAAAATAATATATCAATATAGTAATATATATATATTACTATATTGATAATCCTACAAATAAGAAATCAGAGAAGAACAAGATATTGTCTACTTTCAATTGATATTAGCATGCTAATTAAAAAGATTTGTATTTGTTGAAATATTAAATAACAATTATTCACATAAAGCTATAAATTAAGCTATAAACTATGCAAACAACTGTTCTTATACTGTTTTTACTATATAAATTAGCTATAAATTGTCTCATTTTCCCAGTGAAGGGAACCTTATGGACTTGTAACTTTTGTGTTATTCTACAATATTAATATACACATCAGGAAAAACGATTTTTCATACAACCTCTTTGCTTTTAAGATAGAATGTTATAATTTGTCGGTGGCATACAAGTCTAAATTTGGTTAGTCCTAATTTTAAGTTAGCTTGGTTTCCAATTAAGATATGATAGGTTAGCTTTAGTCCTCTGGTTAGGTTTGTCCTAGGTTATAGTAAGTTAGTTTAGTTAGTAAGTAAGTTAATGTTTAAAAAAATAAATAAGTAAAATAAAAATAATAAAAAAATTGGGGTCTTGCCCGTTCGTCTCATCTACTTTGTCATTGTGTTAGTTTCCTTTTCGCGGTCTGTCTGTCTAGCTGTTAAGTAGTAAGAACCTCGAAAACTTGGCTCTCGATAACCCGGCACTCCGGATAACTCGGCCACACCCTGGCAGGGCAAAAAAATCCTTAGTTAATTAATTTTCATTATAGACAGCTTTATAAAAGTATAAAAGCTCTAATAAAGTATTTTTCTGAGGTCTGTCTTATCAGGTAAATTACTGTACATAGTGTATTCATTAATTTTCATTTTCATGTAGTAAAGGCTCTATGCCTTCATAAAGGATGTACTTTTCCTTTGTTTAAGGGTATTTGGGCAGTTTATTCTCTGTTATATTCTCAAGTAAACAATACATACAAGTACGGTACAGTATTTTCTGAGAAAACACTCGTACTTATTTTTTTTAACCCCATTCCTGATAACCCGGCATTTTCACAAACTCGGCCACTTTTCGGTCCACATTAGGCTGAGTTTGAGGTTCTACTGTGTTAAGATTCACGATCACATTCAGTTTTATTAGTATTAAGTAGATATAAGTCTTCCTACTAACTTCTACACTTAGCTATTTGTGGCAGCACTCAATTATTGGTGTTTGCTATAATCAGGTTTACTTTTAGACCCTTTGGGGGACTATGGCCTTGCAGCATAAAAACTGCATGCCAATATCAAACATAGCAGGTACTGTAGCCATATGTATGCTGTTTAGAGGGATCCTACATTTCTCTATTGTCTATCTCCTTTCCCTCTTCTTCCCCCTTCCCTTACCCTCTTTTCTGCCAACTAAACACTTCGTGTACGGCCAATGTCCTTCTTGTATGTATGCATGCATGCATGTATGTATGTGGCATAGAAGTCAAGTGTGTATGCAGTTCAACACGTACTTTGGTAGCAATGCAACAAAGTATTCTATTGTGGTATTTCCGTTCTATACTATATTTTGGTATTGGGTTTATACCTGAGGCATAGAATTTTTCTAATTTCATTGGTTTATTTTTTGTTGCAATTAATTTTATTTAATTATACTGTAAGGTCTCGTTTTATGCGGATTTTTTTAATGCGATTTTGAAGTTGTGCGGTTTGTATTTCATCCAAATTTTTTTTGGACAAACATACATATAGGCTTGTTTAGGAAGCCCGCGTATAGACAGTCTCCAAAAATCGTGGGACGCTCAAAGCTCACTCCATTTGTTTCACTGACATATAACGTTTATGGATGTAAAGGACAGCTAGATCTACCTTAATCGCTTTAGTTCCTAGCAATTTTTGATATAAATGTAATTAAACATAAAAAATACTTAAAACTGAAAAAAACGAAAGAAATGCGTTAATTTTGAAGAAAAAGCTTCAAAGTTTAACTTCCTTTGTCT